ACATGATAAATGTTTTTTGGCTTCTGTGTTTGACGAGTAGGCGATTATATTAAAGACTTGTGCTTTTAAAGAAGGCAAAAATGTTTGAGACCCCCCATGTTTGAAGCATGGTGTGCATTGTTTTCCTAATAGGCCAGAGGAGTCCTTTATACAAATGGAGTCCGAAGTGTAAAAGTGTCTCGGAGTCTGACGTATCAATCGGCTCAACTATTCTAGGATGTGGTTATGAGTAGCAGGAAACGTAACAGGTGAAACCACAAGACAAGATCCTATCATGTTGTAGAAACTGTGGCCTGTAGAATAGGCAACATTATTTTGTCAGAAAGGTTGTGTATGACATTTAAAATGCCATTGGCTTTTCCTTTGATATCTGTGCTTATGTTGATCCGTTTTTTTCCCACCCCCATTTTTATTTAGTGATCATTGTATTTTTATTTCAAGGATATGATCGAGATAAGTTTGATGTTTGAACTGACCTGAAAGGATGTTGAATTAGTAATCAGAAGGGGGAAAAAAACGATGTTAAGAAATCCTTGTTTAGTTTTTCTTGTGATCATATGAGATATGTTTGTTTTTGAATGTTTGGGGGGGGGAAACGACAAATGTAGATGCTAAAGTGCGTTTATTTTTATGCAAAATAGATAAATGAAGATGAAGAAATTGAGAGGGTGATTAATGTTTGTGAATAAGAAAAAATGGGGACCCATAGTTTTTCAGTCCCATTGCTCACTAATACTGGGCAAGATTATTGCCAACAAACTCTTGTTTTGGTTTTCACATGTTTACCTAGATAAGGGCTATCAGTCAGTCATGGACGAACATCCATCCATTCATTCATCTGCTCTGTCATTTCCTTGCTACCTACAGTTGCAGACACCGCGTATATCTGAACATATTTCATTGACATCTTTTCTGTAGTACTCGTGTGAATAATAGGCAATTTAATATTTGAATTTTAGGCATCTTTTGCCTTTTTGTTCTTTGTTTGCTTTTGTTTCAATGGTCACAGAGGCGCGTGAAGCTCTTATCCCTCGCTCTATCTCTCTTTCTCAATCCCCCCACCCAGTCCGCTATGGCCCCATCACCGTATACCAGCACAGAGGCACACAGTAGGATGATGTCAGGTTGGGTATGTGGTCCCTGATGAGGTAACTAGCCCAGGTGTGATAGTGATGGGGGCTTTAGCCATGGCTCATGCATCCCTCTGGACCATGAGACACCACTTCCCCCCCCGGGGGGCCCGACCATACCGAGCATGGTAACAGAAACTACGTGGCAACCCACACCAATGTTTGTCTTTCTGAGGTGGGGTTTTGCCTCTGCATATATCACCCTTAAGATAGTGCAGGCACAGTGCACAATTATCTTTTGAGATTGTTTGCCTGTACTCTACCTAAACAATTACTGTACTCAACCCACACGTCTTGTCTCACACAAACCTCATACGGTCCTATTGTCATGAATAGCAAACATTCTGTTTTTTATGGGCATCTGATTTGGCATCGATCAGAAATCTAGCATTAGCACCAATGCCATCATTTCAGTTCCAGTTTCATTTACCTTGCTCACTATGCTAAGCCCTCTCATTGGAGAATACCTGTCTTCCTCCTTTCACCCTAAGTGTTCCCCTCTTCATTTCTGCTCCACGCGCCTCTGTATGTACTGTAACTGACTAGCCTATGCAAAAAAAAAACATAAACCCACTGATTATATGCTGCAATAACCCTTCTCTGTTTGTCTGTGGTTGCCAGTACAAGCAATATTACTCTCAGTACGTCGCACTGTACCTCAGTTTTAGTTCTATTGCTACTATGGTGTGTTTCGTGTGTATGCTTTGAAAGTAAATGTGTATATCTACATGTTACCTCTTGGTGGGTGGGTAGTGGGTTGGGGATAAAGATAAAAAGCCATTCTAGTTCATTTTGTATTTTTGTTTCATTAGTAACATGGTGGATAGAAGTACAGTCTGCTGTCATTCTAATCTGCTAAGATATTACTCTGCTTACTTATTATTGAGGATGGAAAAAATAAGAATCTGTTAACTTTGGTGTAAGCTAAAGGAGTGTTTTGAATGCTTTTGTTGGATTAATGCTATTAATCTCTCCTCAGACTAATATTATTCTGTTTGTCCTGTGGGTACCTTTGCCACTGTTCCACCCTTGTGTGTTGTGCTGTCATGGTGCATTTGGTGTATTTGTAAACAGTGACATGGCTTGTTTTCTGTATTTGAGGAATTTTCAGTGACTACTGAACGGTTGCTTTCTCTTCTTGATTGCCCAACCTTTGATATAGAAGTAGTGAATGTGACCTGTATCAAGTATGGAAGCCAATCTAAACCCAATGCTAGATAACTGAGTGGAGAAATTGATCAGGTCTCTTAAATGAGCTGTTGAAGGGTTGTTTAGGGTACACATCTGCTAGCCCAGAGTTTGTTTTAGATGATCTCTCACTAAGTGGTGGGTTGCACTTGTAATTATACATCACCAAGGCAACAATATACTCGCACCATAATCTAAGGATGCTCTATTAACCAACATGTAACCCAGATGTTTCTTTAATTTCTCCCTCGAAACCATAGATAATGTCAAGCGGATGTTGATGTTGTGGCTGATTCGTATGTAGAAAGACTTTTGCCAAAACAATAAATACCACGCTAGAGAAGGAGCGGTCGTCACAAGCGCAGACCCTTTCACTTCTTTTTCCTATCTAGATCAAGACCCCAAGAAAGAGAAAAAAATGGTGGTACATTTGAATGCTTTGGTTTAGTAGGGGGTCTGCTGTGAACTCTTGGGTCATTTGGATTTTATTTTGTATATAAACAAACATTGGCACTGTCATTTGGCTCTGATTTTTACTCTGTTGAATGCTGCACTTGTTTCTCAACCCTATAGTGTTGACATTGATGGACTAGCTGAGGGCATAACCTACTCCACTCAGCCGGAGGTGCCCCACCCAGGCATCTGAAGTAGTTGAGATATTGATCTTGAGGAGCACAGCAGGCAGTGTGAGATGGTGCCTGAAGCATGCGGCTCAGTCATTATTGATGAGTCCCCAAGGCATGGCCTCTCTATTAACATGCTCTTCTTCAGGGACAAAGACAGTCAACAATATAATAGTCCCACTTTGCCAGACATGCCTGGGGCAAAGCTTCAGTTTAAATAAGTGCAGAACAAGCAGACCTTGTGATAAGTAACAAACCATGTGTTGTTTGTCATGATATACATCACATGACTTGTGAAGAGTAGAATACTGGTATTTCCACTGCAGCATTATTAGACTCTAGGGTAAACAACATTACCTGCCATTTGGTTTGAAATTAGGCCTATCTATCCAGAAATACACTATCCATAGTCTCTAATGGTCACTTCCATGTAATTAACCTACTTTACCATCTCCAGAGCAGAAGTAAGGAAACAATGTCACTAAAGGTTGTTCTTTAATGGCAACAAAAACACAAGGGGTACCATCAACATAGTAAAAAAGCTCCCGTATTTTACATTCCTCAGTGGAAAGATGAGGTCAAATAGGGGGTGCTTATATTTGTCCTGTTTTCACACACTACAAGCGTGTTGTAAATGTTTTTTTTTTGCATATCCACTCCTGAGACGCCCTTGACGGCGACCCGGGAGCAAATAAGGTTAAGTGCCTTGCTCAAGGACAGATATTTTTTACCTAGTCGGCTCGGAGATTCGAACTAGAAACCTTTCAGTTATTGGCCAAACGCTCTAACGGCTAGGCTACCTGCCACCCCACACTGAACAAGGTGGCTTAACAAGAGGGGTAAAAGGAAGCATGGGCAATTGAGAGCAGTGCAACAATGTCTTCAAACATTGCTCATTAGGAGACAAAACACCGGGTTCAGATACAGTGAGGCTCAGTGGTGAGTTTCTATCTCAGAACATGTGGAATTATAATGGATTGCGTCTGCAGTATCCATTTCCAAACTATCCCTTTCAGAGCAGGGATTATATCATTCCTTAAAATGACTTTGAAATGTTATTGGTTGCGTACTGAGTTCAGTCTGGGAGAAACTGCAACATACACATTGTTCTGGAATCCATACCCCTGGCTAGGGCTATTGGTAATATGACACAAAACAACAAAAGGGTACAGCACAGCCTGACACTTATAGTGAAACAAAGTGTCTGTGGCTTGAAAATAAAGCTTTGTCAACCACAAGAAGACATGAGATGCAGCAAAGCCTCACTTGTGCTCTTCCGCATAACTACAATTTGAGTACACCACACATAAACAATTAGAAGACACAGACAATGTGAATTAAGTTAAAACAGTGTACTAGAACAATCAAATGTAACAGGCAACTATTTAAATAATTCCCCTAAGAACATGCAACCTTGAAGGGAGAGGGATCGGTCACCTTTCCATTTCATATGGTCATAACACAATAATAAAATCAACAAGCGACCTAATCAATCATGACAAACGGAGTGTAAAAATGACCTTAATTACCTTCATAGCACTCTACGTAACTATATGTACATTCAATTTGACAAGACACGATAAAACAAATGATTTGCAACCATACATCTTTCAAGTAACAAATATGTATGGAGTATGAGAAGAATTAAAACAGTCTGATCATGAAATGCACAAAGACTTACATTGATTGCAAGCACCATAGAGGCAAATAGACATAACTATCCCAACGCTGTTTCTAGAGCGAAGCAGAAAAGTGCCAGAGTGTTCTGCTGATGGGAGCTGGTCATGTGGGCTGTTTGAGTAAGAACACATCGGATACTTTGTCCCTTGACATTCTAAACAACTCATCTGTCAGATAAATCCATCTCTCCAGACCCTCAAAAAGACAACAAAACTAAACCAGCAATGCAGAGTCCAGTGTAGCCAGCAGGGGAAAAAAATTGTGTCTTTTGTGATAAGAGGCACCAAATTTCACACACAGATAGGGCATGTCTAAATAAGTATTTTGGCTATAGTGTCATCGCAGATTTTGTCCATTACCCCCCTGCCGGCCAATTAGCCGCTGGACATGACAACACGGGTCATTTCAAGCTGTTCAGTACATGTCCTAATCATATGCTCTCTATTTGTGTGTAGAGTAGGCCTGGTTGGTGAGGATGGGGGTGGGGACAGGAAGTAAAAAGGTATCAGTGTCTCTCTACTTATGCAGGGGTCAGTGTTGGTTTGTTGCTTGTAGTGTTTAAATGCATCCATCCGCTGCTCAGTCTTTTCCAGGATTCACTAGTGGTTGTCCCAGGGCTACCGCTGTCTGTCAGCATATTGGTTACATTGGGAGGTCAGTGTCTCCGTCTTGTTCTCATTTCAGTCTCGTCAGTCACTTCAGTCTCGTCAGTCACTTCAGTCTCGTCAGTCACTCAGTCTCGTCAGTCACTTCAGTCTCGTCAGTACTTCAGTGTCTTAGTGGCAGTTTTGTCCTCAGACTGCAGTAAAGTGGTTATGATGGGAGGCCTCTCCTCTCCCGTCTCAGTAGAAGCGTTTGCGTCTGTTCTCATTCCAGTGGCTGTAGACGATGAGGCCGACCACGATGAGCAGAAACAGCCCAGCATGGAGAAGAGGATGATGAGAACATGGCAATATTACTCCACCCCTCTTCATTCTCACCCACTGACAGAGAGATAGAGTGAGAGAGAGATGTTAGATGGATAGAAAGGTAAACATTGAGGTGACAAGAGTGACAAGGGCCCTAATAAGTAGGCATAAGCTTGGCCCCCAGAGCGGCCCATAGGTGCATGAGCCTATCCTGTTGCTACAGCGTGAGGCAGCTTGAGGTACAATTACACGCCCTGGACAGGACGCAAATTATCGCAGCCAGGGCCTTACCTCCAATCCTCCTTTTTGCTGAGTGATAAGCAGAAAGGTATTTTTTGGTATGATCAGGGATCGAACACCCAACCCTTCCAAACCCAGGGCAGACACTAACCAAAGGGGCCACTGAGTTGGTTATAGTATGTATCGTAGCTTTTCACAAGAATAACTATGTTACCCAAAATAGAGTAACACAATGAATGTGTATGCTCTTCTGTTTGTGTGAGAGGGGTTAGCGATCCTTACTCCTTAGTAGGTCCCTGTTATCTACACTGGGTAGAGTGATCTCCTCTTTTCCTCTTTTCCTCTGTCTCACTACGTAACAACCGTCAGCTGGTACAGTTTCAGGGAGACACATCATGATTGTCTGTGAGGAACAGAATGTTTCTGTCATTAAAGCAAACTGCAGCAAAAGCACCTTAAAGGAACCAAATACAATAAGAATCCACAGAAGTCCTATGAAAGTACTATATTACCTGCTCAAAAAAATAAAGGGAACACTAAAATAACAATCCTAGATCTGAATGAATGAAATAATCTTATTAATACTTTTTCTTTACATAGTTAATGTGCTGACAACCAAAATCACACAGAAATTATCAATGAAATCAATGTATCTACCCATGGGGTCTGGATTTGGAGTCACCCTCAAAATTAAAAGTGGAAACCACACTACAAGCTGATCCAACTTTGATGTAATGCCTTAAAACAAGTCAAAATGAGCTCATAGTGTGTGTGGCCTCCAGTGCCTGATACCTCCCTACAACGCCTGGCATGCTCCTGATGGGGTGGGGGATGGTCTCCTGAGGGATCTCCTCCCAGACCTGGACTAAAGCACCTGGAGCGAGACTGATGCCCATGTGCTCAATTGGATTCAGGTCTGGGAACGGGCGGCCAGTCCATAGCATCATCCCTTTTCCTCTTGCAGGAACTGCTGACACACTCCACCACATGAGGTCTAGCATGTCTTGCATTAGGGGGAAACCCAGGGCCAACCGCACCAGCATATTGTCTCACAAGGGGTCTAGGATCTCATCTGGGTACCAATTGGCAGTCAGGCTACCTCTGGCGAGCACATGGAGGGTTTGTGCGGCCCCCCAAAGAAATGCCACCCCACACCATGACTGCCCCAAACCGCCAAACCAGTCATGCTGAGGTGTTGCAGGCAGCAGAACTTTTCTCCACAGCGTCTCCAGACTCTGTCACTCTGTCACATGTGCTCAGTGTGAACCTGCTTTCATCTGTGAAGAGCACAGGGCGCCAGTGGCGAATTTGCCAATCTTTGGGGTTCTCTGGCAAAAGCCAAACGTCCTGCACGGTGTGGGCTGTAAGCACAACCCCCACCGTGGACGTCGGGGCCCCCATAATACCCTCATGGGGTCTTTCTGACCGTTTGAGCAGACACATGCACATTTTGTGGCCTGCTGGCGGGCATTTGCAGGGCTCCCGGGCAGTGCTCCTCCTCTCCTCCTTTCAAAGGCGGAGGTAGCAGTCCTGCTGCTGGGTGTTGCCCCCAACGGCCTCCTCCACGTCTCCGATGTACTGGCCTGTCTTCTGGTAGCGCCTCCATGCTCTGGACACTACGCTGACAGCACAGCAAACCTTTTTGCCACAGCTCGCATTTATGTGCCATCCTGGATGACTTCACACCTGAGCCACTTGTGTGGGTTGTAGACCCCCGTCTCAAAGCTACCACTAAAAGTGAAAGCACCGCCAGCATTTAAAGTGACCAAAAAATCAGCCAGGAAGCATAGGAACTGAGAAGTGGTCTGGGTCACCACCTGCAAAACCAGTCCTTTATTGGGGGGTGTCTTGCTAATTGCCTATAATTTCCACCTGTTGTCCCATTCCATTTGCACAACAGCAAAGTGAAATTATTGTCAATCAGTGTTGCTTCCAAGTGGACAGTTGATTTTACAGAAGTGGGATTGACTTGGGGTTACAAATTGTGTTGTTTAAGTGTTCCCTAATTTTTTTGAGCAGTGTATTATTCTATATGTATTCTATGCCAATATCTTAGTTTCCTATTAGACTATTTCCCCCTGAATTGGACTTATGTATCACATGATTTCATTCTGGGCAGTGTGGTCACAATGAGTTAATAACATTTTTATAGAGATAATCTGGATGGACATCTCACTGGAAATAGACACCTCATGAACACCATCAAGTAGGAAATAAATGAAAACTAGGCGATAATTCATAGGCAATAAAAAGTCCATGTAAATGCCATTTCATTAAACTACTATTGAATCACATTAGAGGGAGTACTACCAGAGAGATCTCCAGTGATGGCAGAGGCTCCAAAGTAGTAACCCCTGGGGCAGCCGTACCCTGGTATGTCCAGGCAGTCCCTCCATTCATGCTGCCCATCAATGTCAATCATAATCTAGTGGAGATAGAAATTGAGAGTATGCTTAACAGGGTATGCCAAGGCACTACCTAGTACAGTCAAGACATCATATATACCTGACATGTTTGTTGAAACAATTCACTTCAACATGACTGTTTTCTCAGACTCCAGAGTGACCCAATATGCATCTCGGATTGCATCATTATTATTATATAGTTATTACAAAGTTATACACAATAACTTGGCTATGATTTTTTCATAGAGCCTTTAAAATGTGTGTCTGTGTGTGTTCTCACCGTGAGCCTGCGGCGGACGTATCTGATGAAGATGAAGTGTCGTTTTTGAGGTTGCGCACCATGGCGTTGCAGCCACCCAGCTCAGTGGGACGCCCGTCTCGTTCGTGGTCGTAGCTAATGCTTCCATTCCCACCATCGCCAACACAAAGGGAAGATCTCTGGTGGAAGGTGTAAAAAAAGAAAGGAGTGAGACACAGAAAACGTGAGAGAGAAGGAGAACAGTAAAATATACAGCATTTACAACAGTACAATCCTGCTGGTAAAATTTGCCTTTTGGGAGAGTCACCTTATCCTTTGCCTGATTCCCTAGTAATTAAAATGCTAATTACACTCAAGGTGCAAAAAATTTGGGTTACTGGGTAGTAACCAACAACAACATGGGGCAGCATGCTCATTAGGGGTTGATGGGAGTGGCTAAGGAGAGGGGTATGGGAGGCTTTTGGTATAAGAGTTGGGGTCCAAACAATGGGTACCTGTGTGCGTGTGTGTACCTCGTCTTCTGCGCCTGTCGCCATAGGGATGCACAAAACAGAGGAGCACAACACAAGACAAGGCCCTTTACACAAGTCTGTGAGCCTGCCAAGCAACCGTTCCAACAAAACCTCAAATATTCCACTGTATTGGCTTGCTGTATGACTCAAGTCTGTATTGAGGTAGGATGTGTTGAGTTTCAGTTGTCTAAAGCCCCTCTCGGAGCACAGGAAGATCAGGACATTTTAAACCCCGATTTGACAGGATATGACACATAAATAAACACCCCCTGCCAGACAGTACAATGAGTGAAAAAAAAACAACAGGAAGTAGTTGAGATAAAAGCCCTATGATATAATGTGACATAACATGGAACAGTACTGTAGCTACTCCTTCCCTCCACAGAAACACATAGAAGAGGCCGGCGGGTATATCCACAATACCTCTAGATGTTTTTCCTCATTGGGGTACGTGTCCACAAACACACCCAGCCCTGTGAAGAGGTCCTGGTTTCCAAACACAGGACCTACACAACAGAAATACATTTAGACAGTTACAATGCACCGACGCTATGATATTTCTGTTGGAACTACATTGTGGGGATAGTACCTTTCTGCATGCGCTCCTTGGTGTACCAAATTGCCAGTCCATCCCCGTTCAGATCTTCTTGCCTTGGCCATGAATCTTAAAGTGCACTTGTAACTCCCAGTCCCTTAGGTGACAGGGCTGGACACACAAACACATATATATGACCATTTAGACAAGCCATGCAAAATGTGATATGCATAGAGAGAATCAGTATCAGTTATGTAGACATAAAACAGTGTGCAGTGTTCTGTAGGTTACTCACAATGCGGCTCCACACTGCCCCCTGCTTGCTCTGCATGTCAGATGTGAGGCGCACCTGATCTGTGGTACCATGGCGTCGCCCATCAATTCCCAATGGGAGGAGCTGGAGGAACCCACACCTGAACACACACACTTTATATTAGAATGTTGTTTGTAACACATACGACACAGAATAGACTGAGGGACAACTGACATATAAAACAAGCTGTAGCCTACATAGCCTATTGATGGAGTGGGAGGAAAAAATAATCTTATGACCATCAACATTTAACAGTCAGTATAACGTTGTTGCAATGTCGCATGTACAATGATGTTTTGATTTTGCTTGAACAGTCGCTAAGATTATATTTGGTTGTGATATTTGCAAATTCACTATTTTGGAAGCAGCAGATGTTAGCTAGAATGCTAACACTCATTGATATAGGCTGTAGCAAAAGCTAGTCAGCCATTTTACTGGTTTGAGGTTTAAGTGTTTTTTTTAAGTATATGCAATGATTTGCGATGTGACACAAACATTATATTAAGCAGGAAATTCCTACGAGCCTTAAAATCCAATTATATCCAAGTAGTGTGAAATGCACTTATAAACTAGATGTAAATAGAGGCTTTTTTGTTCGCGTTCTATAAGAACTCCCCTTGTTCGCCACCAATTTTGCGCATATCGCCCTCGTGCGCAGTGTTTGCAAACACAGAAGGGGTCTATAATAACCGGTGATACTGTAAAATGAAGCTACCTTGATAGGGCTTTGACATGAATGCTCCCTTTTCAGAAACTCCTCCTTTCATTTATGATGACCATCTTCAGCAAAGATCGACCTGCTGCAATAAGAAAAACACAAACGTCCAATATGTTTTTAGAGCCATGTTCTGACGAAGAAAAACATCTGGCAGTTATGGTTTGTGGCCGCCGCTATCGTCGTTTGCGACTCCTCCCATTCAACCACATATTTTATTCTTCTTTGGTATCTTCATCTTCTTCTTCAGTGGGGTTTATCGGCGGTTGGCATCCAACGTTATGGTGCATTACCGCCACCTACCGTACTGGAGTGTGGGCCAGAGACAGGGATAAACTAAATCCTATCTGCCAACCCAGTTTCTCTTAGAAAAGACAACAAATATGTGAGACTATATCTAATGACGTTCTACTCAATATACTCTTTAAACTAATTTCCTGTATCCCCTTCTCCCTCATACTTAATCTCATCCTCTCTCTTTCCCTCTGATACTGCCCACACTGTAGCAATACATGCTCCACAGTCTCTATTTCCTGACAATAATCATATTTTTCCTGATGGATGCTTTCCTATCATGCTTAGTGTCTTATTCAACTGGCTGTGTCCCACCCTTAATCTTGTAAATATAGCCTCCTCTCTTCTGTCCCTTCCTGCCGTCCTCCCTCCCCGACTTTCCTCTGTACTTGAATAAATGCCATCCCTAATATTTATATTACCTGCTCCTGCCATCTCTGCACCATCACTGTATATGTCAGTCTTTTTGCCTCTGCCTTGCTCATTTACACTTCAACATCAACATCCCCACTACTAGGTGCTTGTTTAGCCTGTGCATCTACTTGCCTCGTTCCCCTCCACCCCCACATGGGCTGGAACCCAAGTAAATCTTATCTGAATACCCATCTGTTTAATCCTTCCATGGGTTGTTCTGCCACCAACTTGCGCACATCGCCCTTGTGCGGCAATGTTTGCAAACACAGAAAGGGTCTATAAGGGGTCTCTTCCTCTACTACTCCTCTCACTGCCTCAGCATACGACACGTGCACTACTCTGATCCTGTCAACCTCACCTGCCTTTCTCTCCACCGGACACCGCTGATCTCCAGCACCATGGGTACCCCTACAGTTTACACACAAAACTTTTCCCACCGATACTACACATCTTTGTCTCATGTCCTCCTGCACACTTCTCACATCTAGAATTTCCCACCTACACACTGCTGCGACATTACCATAAGCTTGACACCTAAAACCACTGTAATGGATTCGGGACAAAAGCTCTCACGGGATAACTGACATCCTAACTTGACTTTATCTGGCAATCAAAACTCAGTAGGACAGACAGTGTCTTCTCCGTTTCACCATGCTTTCCTCGGGTCTGTGTCGCACCAAACGGTGGGCGTCCAGACACCGGAATCTTCAACTTCAGTTGATCCTCAATACTTAACGCCACACCACTTATCACTCCTTTCAACAGCGGAGAAGAAAGCTAGTCACAGTTCTTGTCCGCAGTTGCGTGATGAGGAGCGCACGCTCCCTCTGGACGGCAGAAACACAAAAAAATCAACACGATTTCATCTTCATTTACAGTCAGTGTTCTATATAATTCTCTCTTTGAAGAGGTGACATTGTGATATTGATCAATATCAAGTCAATGCTGACATAATATCAATAGAACATGCAGAGGTTGGCCAAATCAGGTCAATATCTAGGCCTATTTATGATGCCTATTTATGATGCTACTGTCAGAGAGGAAGAGGTGATCCAGTATCTCTGCCAGAGACGTAAGAGGAAGCAAGACATCCCACTCCCTCATTTTTTCTGGTTCATATACAGTCAGTGAATTAAGCAGACCAGAACTAGCTGCTATTGCATTGGTGTTTTTGGGAAAGCTACCCTTTAAAGTGGCACTCCAGTCTCCTTTTCACCTAATTTAACACCTGATTTACTCAACAAAAGGAACATCTCAATAGGTCCAGGTATGCCATGTATATGTTCTCTATTGCTCCCCTATTGTTCCTCATGCAAGGGGGAGGCAGATGACTGTTCACTTGAACCGATGTGGATGTGTGTGGAGGAGTCAGGCGACAGGACACAGAGGTTAAGTCCAACAGACTTTAATAGTCTAATGATTATGAGGAAAAACCCGACCTCGAATAATACCAAGAGGCGAGGGAAAATTACGCACATGCGTAAACACTAAACACGAAACAAAACCAGAGTGCAAACACGTAGCTCTGACAAAGTGGCAGCAATCACAACAACACAATCAGTCTAGTGCAAAAAACAAGGAACTTATAAGACACGTAATCAACACACAAATGGACACAGGTGTAACAGACAGACAAAAGCAATCAAATAACGAAACCTAGAGCGGTGCAGCTAGTACTCCGGGGACGGCGAACGCCGAAGCCTGCCCGAACCAGGAGGAGGAGCAGTCTCGGCAGAATCCGTGACAGTACCCCCCCCCCTTGACGCGCGGCTCCAGCCGTGCGCCGACCCCCGGCATCGGGGACTGCCAGGAGGACGCGGACCCGGGCGCGTGGGATGCCCAACGTGGAACTCAGTCAGGAGGGATGGATCGAGTATGTCCCTGCTGGGCACCCAGCACCGTTCCTCCGGACCGTACCCCTCCCACTCCACGAGATACTGGGAGACCACTCGTCCGGCGCCTCGAGTCCAAGATGGTCCGGACCCTGTACGCCGGGGCCCCCTCGATGTCCAAAGGGGGCGGAGGGGTCTCTCCTATCTCATCTTCTTGGAGTGGGCCAGCTACCACCGGCCTGAGAAGAGACACATGGAACGAGGGGTTAATATTTTTATACTCTATAGGCAGTTGTAACCTGTAACACACCTCGTTCAATCTTCTCAGGACTTTGAAGGGCCCCACAAAACCGCCGAACCCAGCTTCCGGCAGGGCAGGCGGAGGGGCAGGTTTCGAGTCGAGAGCCAGACTCGATCTCCCGGTGCGTACACCGGTCCCTCACTGCGGTGGTGATCGGCGCTCACCTTTTGTTGACGGATGGCACGCTGCAGATGGACATGGGCAGCGTCCCACGTCTCCTCCGAGCGCCGAATCCACTCGTCTACCGCAGGGGCCTCGATCTGGCTCTCGTGCCATGGTGCCAGGACCGGCTGATAACCTAAAACACACTGGAAAGGTGTTAAATTGGTGGAGGAGTGGCGGAGAGAGTTCTGGGCCATCTCTGCCCAGGGGATGAACCTAGACCACTCCTCCGGCCGGTCCCGGCAATAGGACCTCAAAAACCTACCCACATCCTGGTTGACACGTTCCACCTGCCCATTGCTCTCTGGGTGGTACCCCCGAGGTAAGGCTTACCGAGACCCCCAACCGTTCCATGAACGCTCCCCAAACTCTGGAGGTGAACTGGGGACCTCGGTCAGACACAATATCCTCGGGGACCCCCATAGTGCCGGAAACACATGGGTAAATAGGGCCTCAGCGGTTTGTAGGGCAGTAGGGAGACCTGGCATTGGAAGGAGACGACAGGCCTTGGAAAAACCGATCCACAACGACCAAAATGGGTGGTATTCCCCTGGGAGGGGGGTAGGTCGGTTACGAAATCCACCGATAGGTGGGACCATGGTCGTTGTGGAACGGGCAGGGGATGTAGCTTACCCCTGGGCAAATGTCTAGGCGCCTTACACTGGGCACACACCGAGCAGGAGGAGACATAAACCCTCACATCCCTAGCTAACGTTGGCCACCAGTATTTCATGCTAAGACAGTGCACGGTCCGGCCAATACCTGGATGTCCAGAGGAGGGTGATGTATGAGCCCAATAAATAAGACGATCACGAACCTCGAGCGGAACGTACGTCCGCCCCACAGGACACTCGGGGGGAGTAGGGTCGGTACGCAGTGCCCGCTCGATTTTCCGCATCGACCTCCCATACCACCGGAGCCACCAAACAAGACTCCGGCAATATGGAAGTAGGCTCGTTGGACCTCTCCTCTGTGTCATTACCGCCGGGACAGGGCGTCTGCCTTACCATTCTGGGACCCTGGGATGTATGTGATCTTAAAAACAAACCGGGTTAGGAACATATTCCACCTAGCCTGACGAGGGTTCAATCTCCTAGCTGCCCGGATGTACTCCAGGTTACGGTGATCAGTCAGAATGAGGAAAGGGTGTTGAGCCCCCTCAAGCCAATGCCTCCACACCTTTAGGGCCTGGACTACGGCTAACAGCTCCCTGTCCCCAACGTCATAGTTGCGCTCCGCCGAGCTGAGCTTCTTGGAGTAGAACGCACAGGGGCGGAGTTTAGGTGGCGTGCCGGACCGTTGTGACAGGACTGCCCCAATACCGGTCTCGGACGCGTTCTACCTCTACTTGGAATGGTAAAGAGGGATCCGGATGCGCCAGCACCGGAGCCGAGGTGAACAGGTTCTTCAGTTTGACAAATGCCCTGTCCGCCTCAGCCGACCACTGCAAACGAACCGGACCCCCCTTTAGCAGGGACGTAATGGGAGCTGCAACCTGTCCAAAACCCCGAAATAAACCTCCGGTAGTAATTAGCAAAACCCAAGAACTGCTGCACCTCTTTTACAGTGGTTGGAGTTTGCCAATTACGCACGGCCGATACCCGGTCTACCTCTATCTCCACACCAGACGCGGACAACCGATAACCCCAAAAAGGAGACGGACTCCTGGAAGAACAGGCATTTCTCTGCCTTGACATACAAGTCATGCTCCAACAGTCTTCTCAACACTCGGTGCACCTGGGCTACATGCTCGGCTCGTGTAGAAGAGTACACTAGGATGTCGTCGATGTAAACTACTACACCCTGCCCATGCATGTCCCCGGAAAATCTCGTCAACAAAGGATTGGAAGACTGAAGGAGCATTCATTAAACCCGTATGGCATGACGAGATACTCGTAATGACCCGAGGTGGTGCTAAATGCTGTTTTTCCATTCATCCCCCTCCCTAATGCGCACCAGATTGTACGCGCTCCTGAGATCCAACTTTGTGAAGAACCGCGCTCCGCGAAATGACTCCGTCATCGTCGCAATCAGTGGAAGTGGGTAACTGTATTTAACTGTGATCTGATTGAGACTACGGTAATCAATACACGGGCGCAATCCCCCGTCCTTCTTCTTCACAAAGAAGAGAAACTCGAGGAGACCGGGGAAGTGGAGGACCGTATGTATCCCCTGTGCCAAGGACTCGGCTATGTAAGTCTCCATAGCCGCTGTTTCCTCTTGAGA